CACTGGGGGCCCTAAAGGGTTTGAGGGGGTTGGTGGGCGCGGCCACGCGGGTACCCTGCAAGCATAGGGCCTCCCTTTCTCATCGTCCCCCACCCCTCATCGAGTAGCAGCAAAGGCTATGGGCCTATGGGCCATGGCCAACACTCTCCCACAGGAGTAGGTAGTGAAAGGCAAAAACAATTTTAGAGAAGAACATAGTGTAGTTAAAAAAAATAAAAAAATAAAAAAAATCCTTATTCTGTGTTATGAACTTGGTTGTCTGCCGATTTTTACCGCCACTCACACACAGACCGTCTCATACACGCCCATACATGCACGAGAGAAGGGGAAGAGGAGACAGAGTCCAAACTGCACACAGATCAGAGTAGACAGCGGAATTCAACCATGCACAGATGGGGATAAGAGCTCAGAAGATACGCAGTGTTTCTCACTCTCTGACAAACTCCCAACAACCAATCACAAGAAGAACCTGTGAGGATGGCAATTGAAATCACACAGATGATGAGCCACTCAACTAAAATATCGTCACAGAGTTTGTTCCAGTATCTCGCCACTCCCTGAACTCACACCCCACTCTCTATCCTACACCCAGTTAGTAGCGCCACATCAAAACAACCTCCCTGAGGCTAGCGCCAACCACCATGATGAAGAACAGATCCTGCGATGAAGTCTTCAGTGCCGATGGACAACTCAGACGAAGTACCAGGCAGCTATGGCTGCCACCACGTACGAACACACAGTGCCTCGATATCGTCCGGCCATATGCAGATACCGAAGGGCCTAACCTATTAATAGACTGCAGTCTACAGTCACTACAGGCTACAACTACTCTAGCCTACACGTAGACCACTCTGACTGACCGACCACTACCGTTTCTGTTTCGGCCTCCCGGCCTCTACCGGACCCAGCTATAGGCTATAGGACCGTCTATCAGCATAGGCCCATAGGGCAGCCTGCTATTCGCAGTTAGGGTCGTAATAGAAAATCCAGTCATGTTGCGACTCTATTTTTCCAAATTTACAGATATGTCCCTCACGAATTTCCTTATAGGTAGGTCTCTCGGTTTAGCCCTCAGCCAAACAAAATCACAAATCTAACCTACCGGGTCGTTGTACAACCTCGCAAGCAGTCTCGGCAGTCAGAATCAGCAAGTCATTGCACTAGTCTTAGAGAGGGAGCGCCTCACACTTCCTCTGTCTCACACAGTGAGAGTCGCAAAAAAAGAACACAGGACCCAAGGTAAAACCCAACGCCACCTAAATATTGAACCCGTGTCGCCACCTGCACCCCGCTGCGAAGGCCTGTATGCAAAATTCACAGACTGAGCTTGCGCCTGTCGATCAATAGGCGGTTACAAACCTGCATCCTGCTACAAAGGCTCAGACCGGTAATGATACAATTTGGCTATCACAGACTGAGCCTGCGCCTGTCGATCAATAGGCGGTATAGGGTCCGATGGCGTCCTTTGCTTGTGCGGGCCGAGTCCTGTCCTCTACCTGACGCGCCGACCTCCACCATCATCTCCATCCGCCGCCTGGCGCCGGGGCACATAATCGGAGTCACCTGGATCGTCGGCGCCTGTGGTCTCGCCAGCCTCCGCGGCTGTGGAGCTGTCATCATGGTAAATCACCACACCGCCTCGTCTCCTCTCAACTTGCCCTGAACGACATTGGACTGTCCCCCCATCCGCCACTGCCCCGCCAGTCGCCGGAATCTGTGTGGTCGGAGCTCTGGCGTRAAAAGTCGGTGGTGGACGGCGACGGTGATATGGAATCGATGCACCTGTCCCCTTCTTCCTCGCCCGGGATAACCTCGCGGTCGCCGTCCTCGTGTCRTGGACATCCGTTGTCTTGGCCCKCAAAGGCCTCCCATGTCGCTCCTCGTATGCTCTCATGGAGTYGTGACAACCACCATYGACGCGGCCTATGGATCGCATCCCCGCACGCACATCTGTCAGTCCGCATGCTGATGCATGTCCCTCATCGCCTGCCCTCCGGTCCCTCGTCACGCCGTCGTAGAACGACACCGTSGGCAATGCGGTGCTCGCCGCSACACCGTGGACGACAGGGTMTGCRCCATGGGGGTGSGAAGGCGCGTGACACCTATGCTCGCCTTCGACACCACGTGCGATGGCCCCCTCAGCGACATACTGTGCGGCCGATGACCCTCTATTCTCGTAGTGCGACCCAGTGCTGCGAGCAGGCACGCTACCATCTGTGGTCAATGTCCGTGCCAGACTGCGTTGCGCTGCAATGTGCACGGTACCATCCCTGCGCATTTCCTCATCCACGTCCGCGGCGACAACGTCGGGAGCCGTCTCCTGCACCGAACGTGGCGGGCCTGGGTGCGGGTCTTCCTGAGAGACTGCCATGAATGATGACCCATCGCGTGCGGAATCCTCTGCACAATGACCCTCCTGCGCCGCATACTCTGCATCCAATCTCTTAAATGAATCTCCCAAACTGCGTTGCGCCGCGACGCGAGGGCCGCCAGGGCGGTTCCGTGCCACCTGCTGCGCCAAACCCTGGTCCACCGCGTGCAGTGCCCCAACATGAAAAACGGCGGGAGTGGAGGAGACTGTAGGATGCAATATCGTGTTGCCGGCGAACTCGTCGAATCCTCTACGCACTCCATCCTTTTCATCCGCTCGACCAGTCGCTGGTGGTGCCACAAATGCTAAAGTGGGAGAAATCAAAGTCGATACATCAGGAAGATCAAACAACGCCGACTCCATGGCGAGCAACTCCGGAGTGGGCGGAAGACTGTCAGCGGGGCAGGCGAGGCCAACGTGGTTGACCGTGGCAGGACGTGTAACCTCTCCCTCATGGGCACAACTGGGAGTACGTGCAACCTCTCCGTCCTCCAAACCAATGTCAACCGTGGGAGGATGTGCTACCTCGCCTATGGAGGGGACCGCAATGCTGGGTGCCCCATGGGCGCCCGTGCAGGCGACGGTGGAAGGAGGTGGCACATTCCCTTCACCGTCGGGAATTGTCTGCCTATCACTGGCTGCCACTCCTCGAGCTTGCGCATGAACCGCAACCGTGGGTTGTGTCAGATGGCGATGGGACTTTTGTGCGACCGCAGTATCTGCAATGGGCGCCGCAAGCTCGGGACAAGTCAACCCTGCTCCGCTCTCCTCCTGTGCTGAAATCGTCGCTGCAGACTTGGTCGGACCCTCGACGAAATCGGGTTGATGCTCAACGCCGCTCACGTCGGAAGTCTGAGGAATGAAGTCCTTGTCCGATGTGTCGCCTAGGGAGTCCTCAGACACGAGAACCTGCTTGTGCTGCGCAACACGTGCGTCCGTGGCGGTCGCATCGTGAAGAGTTTCAAGACGACGCCTGCGCACACGAGAGTTGATGCTGTTCTCCTGCCTGGGACCGTGTCTCAACCGCTTCAAGAAGAACCCACGACCACACACAGGAAAGTCACCCTCACACCCCTCAACTCTGTCGTCACCTCCCGCGTCGCCGCTACCTCCTCTGTGACCTCTGTTGTCATCTCCCTCGTCGCCGCCACCTCCTCCGGCACCACAGTCATCGCCTCCGCCACCTACTCCACCACCTCCTCCGCCACCTCCTCCGCCACCTCCTCCGCCTCCTCCTCCGACACCTATGTCGCCGCCTCCGCCACGTCCTCCGCCACCTCCTCCGCCACCTCCTCCGGCACCTCTGTCGTCGCCTCTGCCACC